ATATTCCTAACAAAATATACTAGTAGAAATTTTAGAAAAGATAGTTTGCAACAAATTTTCAGCATTATTTTTTATTATCAAATTTATATCATATTTAATGAAAAGTTGTACATGAATATAAGTATGATAAAAAAATATTAATATATATAATATATTGTATAGCTTAATGTTGCTTCAAATTAAGTCAAGTTAGTTTTACATATTTTTTTGCGATCATTATTTTATTTATATTTTACTATTTTTTAAAAATTGCTCATGCTACGATTTTATTTATATTATATTTTACTATTGAATTATAAATATATAAACATTAATTATTATAATTAGTTGAATTTTATTGTTTTTATATTAATATGGATATGACCATTATAAGAGCTATCGATCCATCAATTTTTTTAGCAGAATTAAATACTCGGAGCCAAATACAAAAGATTCAAATGACTATGTTTTTCTTGGAAAATCGTACCATGGATTCCATTGTCGAAGTAACTGTCATAGATAGACCAACTATGGAATATTATAAGTTTGATTCTTCGATCACTTAATCATCCCGAGGTTGTAATTAGCAAATCCAAGACTGCCAATAAAATACATAAATAATTATGGAAGGAGTTTAAAGTTTCCATATTACCTATTTCCTTTAAGTATAAGTTTTCTTTTACTATAATTCCTTATAGGTTGTTCCTTATTTTTTATATTTCCTAGTTTATATGTTGTCTTTTAAATTGTTTCCGATGTTTCCTTTATTCTACCATCAAGAACATAAAGACCTTGTTTATCATTATGAAAAAACACAACTTTGATATTTCTTATAAAATTCTTTAATTTCAAGAGTGAATTTTGCTTGCTTGATAATTCGAGATTGTGTGATGCAATCCTCGGTAGTCTTTCAAAATCGGGTTGTTTTTTACACTACCAAAAAATTTCTTTTTTGAATCGGTCAAAAATTCATAATAAAAACTCAATTTTCGTGCAAAAAAGTCTTTTGTGTCGACTTTGTTACGGATTTTGATCACTAAGTAAAATCACGGTACAAAAAGTCATTGTTGCGAAAAAATCTGTAACAAATAAGTGGCGGTCAACGTTATTAATATGCATGTGTTAATTATATTTGTTACGTTTTCTCGTACGCAACAAAAATGCGATTATATTTTTGCTACAATATATGTCTGTAGCAAAAACTACAGTACAAAAGGGATGATTTTGTCAGAAAATTTTTTGTAGCGAAATATCTCCATAACAAAAAATGTGGAACAAAAAGTAGACCTCATGTTAGAGATCTTTTTCTTACGAATATGTTCGTAACAAAAAATGTGGTACTATGAAACTTCTTTTGTTCCGAAAAATATTTGTAACAAAAAATATGGTACAAAAAGCTTATCTAGGTCAAATAAAGTTTTTATCGAGAAACAAGAAGTACACTTGACTTCTTTTGTTATGGACCCAATCGCGTGACAAATAACTAAAAGAAGGATTTTACCATAAATAATCTGAAAACTTAACAAATCCTACAAAATGACGTCAATTCAACGACGTTACTAGACATACCAAAAGTAGAAACATAACCGTCAATAGTACTTTGAAACATCCTCAACTATAACGGTGCCTTAGACCATCATAACAATTAATTATTATACGACCCTCAAATTAAAAATATAATACATAAAAGATCAATCCATCACCAACAAATAGTACTATCTTTAAAACGAGTTAAGAACGACTTCTTCGGACGACCAAGCTTATCCATTGCAGAATCACAAAGACAAGAAACCAAGGGAGGCAAACTATCTACAATAAAAAACCAAGATAAATAAGAAATTATTACTACAATTGAAATTATTTAGCTCCCAATAGAATAAAACTAATAAAAGAAATGCATACATCCTTGTATGTCAAAGTCATTTCACTAACTAATTACACAAACAATTGACAATGACGGAGATATGATTAACCAAACTATTGCACAAGATATTACAACTAATAATGCAGTAATATATAACCAAACTAAACAACACAGCCTAATGCTTAAAGAGACTAAGCTAAAAGTTACAACAATCATATAGGATTTAGACAAAACTAAGTTTTCAGAAATTAGATTAAGTTGCAGGGGATTTGATGACTCCAAATATGAACATATTCCTCGCTTGACAAAACTACGTATTACTTGAATTTCTGTATAAAAACTATAACAATAACTGATTTATGGCATACTTTATTGATCTATCTCGCTTGGCATGATCCAGAGTTGGTTTGTTGAGATTATTAACAATTTTTGCGCTTTTTAAGCGGTGTTTTAGATCTTGAAAGCTAAGGCAAATGAAACAAGCGATAGTTATCTCCGCTCACAAGCGACTCCATCGCCCAGAAAAGCTAAGGCAAGAGAGTCAAGCGGCAACTTTCACTGCTCGCAAGCGGCAGCCTCTACCGCTCGCAAGCGACAGTCACCAGCGCTCAGGCCAGTGACCAGACACCCACCACAGCGAAGCGACGGCAACTCAGTTCAAATATTGCCTAAGTGTCCAAACTACAGTGGTACAACAATTTCACTACCAGCCAGCACAAGCAAGCCCGCTTAACTGCGCTGATGCCCTCCACTCATCCGGAAAGCGAGGAAGATCTGCGCTCTTACAAGCCCACGCAAGCTAAGCACCCTGGGAGTTATGGCTAGCAACTGCTTCAACAGAGTAACCGTCACCAACTGCGTAACTGCCTAGCGGTTTAAACCACTTTGTAACTGCTTGCAACCGCTACTTCCACTTGCTATAAATAGGGCCAGATATCTGTATGTAAATATATACTTCGAGAGGAGTATACTAGCAATTACTTTTCGTGCATTCTAGTTGTCTTCCTGTTTCCCAAGAGCTCCAACCCTGTAAGGGAGTTCTCCACAGGAATGGCCAAGGGAGTTGAGATTCCTCTTCTCCCTTGGCCACCACTTTACTACTTACTTAGTTTAGTTTATCGCTTTAATTACAATTTTTGTAAAATTAGAATTTCCAGTTTTGATAGTAAGTAATGAAATATCATTCATTCTTCATTATCACTTCTTTCACACTTTTCGCACTTATATAAACCCTAATTGTAAAGAATTTCACTTTGCTGGTTTAGAGCACAAAACGATTGACTATCCGAGCCTTGTCTTTTGTCACAAACATATTCAAGGTAGTTCAATGTAGTTAAGTACATGGGAGGCTTGTCAACCTGCTTAACTATTGGTTTGAATTCAATTTTGATTAAAAAAAGGTAACGGAAGGGTAAAGCCACTAATGAGGCAGAATTTAGGATAATTAATGGGGCATAGGCTTACAGAAACTCCTAGTGACAGTAGGGTTTCTTTCTTATAATGTTCTGATTCTGAGTGTCATTGAAGTCTTGTTGTAAATCCCTTAAAGTAAAATACCAGCAATAAAAATTCTCTATAATTTGGTTTATATATTTACATTATCTCCTCCTCCCGCTTCCGTTCAATACATATATGTCCGCTTAAACACCAGCACCGCTCGCTCATCTCATCCAGAAAAATCTAGCCATTAAGTAACGCACAGTTCAGACACAAAACCTCTCCTTCACCCCTTACCGCTCAATCTATATACATATACGTCGTGCCACCCACTCACGTCCCTCTTGTTCATCCATCATTGGCACCCTGCCGCTCGCCTCCGCTCCGCTCACTACCGCTCACTCTCTACCGCTTTCCTTTCCAGCTTTCAGTATATTAAGATTTAGACCCGCTGCAAACCGAGTCCCTTTTACTGCATTTCCGCCACTTTCATGAGATCTGTACTCGATTTAAATTTGTGACTTAAGATCCCTGTGTTCGACCTGGAAACTCACCAGTCAAAGAGTATAAATAATTATGATAAAAATTCAGGGTCTACAACCATAAATTTTTACTATATCTAATCGCTTTCTATAATCCACTACATCTCAATCTTCGAGTGAAAATTCCTTGTATTTGACTATACACAAAATGCTTTATCATAATTTGGCGCCATTGTCGGGAATTTTAAACTCATAAAATTTAATCTTGTTAAGATCTTCTGAAGCGCCATAAATTACCTTAAAATTCTGTAATTTTTGTTTTCTGTTCCGTATTTTTTTTTACTAACAGTGGCTCTAACTTTTTATCTTGGTGTGGCTATCTTTATATAGGGGTCCAAAGCGTCTCCAGCGTTCTACGAGTCCGACTCTTTCTGCTCTGTCATAGAGACATATGTTCAGAGAATTGACTAGAGAAAGGATTATGGTGAATCAAGGAAATGCCACCGCTCCCTCTACTGTCGTCCCAGCTTTCCAGACTGTCGCTGGGACTTCTTTGAATTCGGCCACATCAGCATCATCACAGAAGGTGCCGCTCCACATCCCCACTGTAGTTCCGACCTTTGTCCCCCACGCGCTGACACCGACCGAGGGACATCTTATGAGAGCGCTCGGTAGCATTCAAAATGGGATGGCTGGACTACAAGCGCATCTCGCTCAGGTGGAGAAGGCTCAAGTTGCTCAAGGGGCATTCATCGCTTCTCAAGCGGCTAAAGCCACCAACGCCGCTGCGAAACCCGCCATCATCACTCCTCCCCCACCTACTGTTGAGCCTAACCAGAGGCATGAGGGACAAAGGGCTGCTAATCGCCCGCTTGCTGAAGTCCCCATAGACGTTCACTATCAGTCCCTCCTGGATAATACACTGATTACAAGTTCTGCACCCAGAGGCTCTGGCCATTATGAGGTGAAGCCAGCACTCGTCAGCTTGGCAAGCCAGAGCCAATTCCATGGGCTGCTCAATGAAAGTCCATACGAGCATTTGCAGAACTTCAATAGGATTGTTGCCACCTCCAAATCACACGGCATCATGGAGGACGCTGCGAATTTAATATTGTTTTCTTCTCCTTTAAGAGGAGAAACTAAGAAATTGTTCGATAATCTCTATCTTATTCCTGCCACTTTTAAGGAAGCAGCGCAGGCCTTCGTGAGTTAATATCATCCTGTATCAAAGACCATTCATCAGAGAAATGAAATTTTAAGTTTTAAGATGGTGAGTGACGAGACCCTTTCTAAAGCTTGGAGCTGCTACAAGGAATTGCTCCGCAACTGCCCTCATCATGAGATCCCTGACTTCATGGAGCTGCAGATTTTCTACTTAGGAATCACTTCTGAACTAAGGATGTCCTTTGATGCAGCGACAGGAAGCTCGCTGATGGGGCGGTGTGCCTCAGAAGCGAGGGCTTTGATAGAAAGAATGGCGGCCAATCAGACTACTTGGCCAGAGACCAACAGGCCAGAGCCATCGAGGTGTCTATACCAGGTCCTTGCTTTAGTTTCGCACAAGGCACGGATTGATAGTTTTTCAGTTCAAGTTAAAGAGCTATCTAAGCTCGTGACCGGCATAACAAAGGCAAACATGCAATAAATGAGGCCACGGTCACTAAAGAGTGCGCCTATATGGACCAATCAAGCCCGCAGGTTGCTGAAAGCTCATCTGAGCAGACTCAGAACCCAGCGGAGGTCTTTTATTTGGCTAACAGAAATGCTCTTCAGTTCCAGCAATATCATAAAGGACATAGTCAAGGCGCCGCTGGACCGCATCCCCAGCAACAATTTCAACAGCCGCAACAGTTCGCTACGCATCAATATCATCAAGGGGGATTCTATCAACAACAACAACAGTACTTTCAGACCCCCCACTTTCCACAGCAGGCACTTGTTTTCGCCCAACCTCCCACAGCGGCTCAACAACCGTTGAGTTTGGAGGAACTTTGGAGGAACACCGAGCACGCAAATAAGGAGTTCAAATGAAATACGTCTACCTCGATCAAGATGTTTGAAATTCAGCTCAGGCAGATAGCTGAAGCTATGAAGTTGAAGCTGAAGGGAACGTTGCCTGGGACAGTCGAGACTGTCCTGAATCAAGCGAAGACCATTGAGACAAGGAGTGGAAAGCGAACACAATCGCCACCGCTGCCAGACAGAGGTACTAATCATTCTTCTACTTCATTTTTTGCTAATTTTCCTGTACATGATAATGTTATACATATTCCAACTGAGGAAGAAGGTCCCTCCCAGCCGCGAGCGTTACCAACCGCTGGGGTACCTGAACAAAAGAAAAAGGGTCCCGCTCAGCCTGTGGCTAGGGCTCCCTTTCCTACCAGACTTGGGAAGAAGGAAAATTCCAAGGAATTTGATTAGTTTGTGCATACTTTCTGTAGTCTTAAAGTTACTATACCGTTTGCTGATGCTTTGTCACATATGCCGCATAACGCTAAGTTCATAAAAGATATAATCAATCGGAAGCATGCATTTCCTGATGAAGCGGCAGCAGTGCAACTGGAGAGTGTGTGCAGCGCCGTATTTAAGGAAGACCTCCCAAATAAATTAAGTGATTCGGGGAATTTTATCATTATTTGTACTATTGGAAATTTAGAGCCGATTAGGGCATTATGTGATTTAGGAGCAAGTATCAATCTTACGCCTTTTTCGCTTTTCTCCAAATTAGGGCATTATGAATTAAAAGCATGCAGAACTGTAATTGAACTTGCAAACAAATCAATAAGACTTCCAAAAGGAATTATTTGTGATGTACTAACGCAAGTAAACAAATTTATTTTCCCTGCAGATTTCATAATAATGGAAATGAGCGAAGATCGCGAAATTCCAATCATTTTGGGGAGACCTTTCGTACCACAGCTCAAGAAACTATTAACGTCGCCCAAGGCGAAATCACACTGAGCTTAGGTGGAGATAGAGTCACATTTTCCATGAACAAAGTAATGCGCTAACCTCAAGAAGAAAATTGTGATTTTATCGATGAGTTAAATGAATTATCAACTTTTTAGATCTATATGACACTTGAAACTCTGGAAGAAATTTCAGATAATGGATCGCTCAAGCTGGACGGTGTTATGGATTCTAGTGGGGCAAGCGATACAAGAACAACTCCCCCTGAATCTATTGAGAAAGAGAAGAAAGAACCAGCGAGCGATGCCTACATCAAAGATGAGTTGAAGTTACCTGAGCCCCTCAAATACATATACCTTGGCCTGAAGGAAACTTATCTGCTGATAATCTCCGCCTCACTACTGCCGGACCAGGAGGCTCAACTCGTTTCACTTCTCAAAAGAAGAAAAGCAGCGTTTGCATGGAAGATCACTGACATAAATGGAATCAACCCAGCGGTGTGTATGCACTATATTAGGCTGGACGCTGATGCACGGCCATGCAGACAGCCTCAACGGCGCTTGAATGAAAACATGCAAGAGGTAGGGAAAAAGGAGGTAATCAAATTATTCGATGCAGGAATCATTCACCCTATCAGTGACAGCCAGTGGGTCAGCCCAACCCAGGTGGTCCCCAAGAAAGGAGGCTTCGTCGAGCAGACAAGAGATAAGGGGGAGGTTTTTATGACAAGACCTGTCACTGGTTGGAGGGTATACATCGATTACAGGAGGTTCAATGCTATAACAAAAAAGGACCATTTTCTTCTGCCGTTCCTTGATCAGTGCCTGAAGAAGCTCGCAGGACATGAATACTACTATTTTCTCGATGGCTACTTAGGCTACCATCAGATTCCCATCAAGCCGGAGGACTATGAGAAGACAACGTTTACTTCTCCGTATGGTATGTTCGCCTATAGGAGGATGCCGTTTGGGCTTTGCAACGCTCCAACCACCTTTCAGCTATGCATGTACCATATATTTAGTGATCTTCTGGACTCTTGCATAGAAGTTTTTATGGATGACTTTTCGGTTTATGGCAAGACGTTTTTCAGATGCCTGAATAACCTGGAAAAAGTACTTTTCCGCTGCATTGAGACTAACCTCGTGTTGAATTGGGAGAAGTGTCATTTGATGGTAAATGAAGGAATTGTTTTAGGCCATAAGATCTCAGCTGCCGCGATAGAGGTAGACATATCCAAAATTAATGTAATTGAAAATATGCCAGCACACTCGAATGGAAGGGAGTAAGAAGTTTCCTTGGACATACGGGGTTTTACCGCCACTTCATCAAGGGCTTCAGTCAAATCACACAACCGTTCACTGCACTGTTGTGCAAGGATACTCACTTTGATTGGTCAAATGAGTGGGAGGAGGATTTCCTCATTCTAAAGGAAAAGCTAGCCACCGCTCCCATGATTTCTGCACCAGTGTAGAGCGAGCCATTCGAGTTGATGACGGATGCAAGCGATTATGCCGTCGGTGTTATGCTAGGACACAAAGTGGAATCCAAGCTAAATTTTATTTACTACGCAAGTAATTCATTGAAGTCTGCTCACAAGAATTACACTACAACCGAGAATGAGCTGCTAGCTATTCTCTTCGCTTTCGAGAAATTCAGGCAATATCTCCTAGGAAGCAAGACCATTGTTCATACAGATCATGCAGTAATCAAATATTTGATGGAGAAGGAGACAAAGGACCAACTTGATCAGATGGGTGCTGTTGCTCCAAGAATTCGATATAGAGATCAAGGACAGAAAAGGAAAGGAAAATCACGTTATAGACCACCTTAGCAGATTAAGGCAAACAGAGGACATATCTCCTGGTATCAATGAACTATTCCCAGATGAGAAGTTGTTCCTAGTTCAAGCGAAGGAGCCTTGGTTTGCAGACCTGGAAAATTTCTTGATCACGGGCCAGTTCCCTGCACATACAATACAAAGGGAAAAGAAAAGATTTCTCAGATTGGCAAAGGATTATTTTTAGGATGAATCATATTTGTTTAACATCGGCTCAAATGTGATAATCCCCTGCTGTGTAGCGGAATCTGAGATCCCGCCAATTTTGAACGAATGTCATGGGTCCCATGTAGGAGGGCATTTCGCTGGCCTGCGCACAACAGCCAAAGTTTTGGAGTCAGACTTCTTTTGGCCTACCCTACAGAATGATGCTGATGTCTTTGCCAAATCTTGCGACAAGTGTCAGAGACTGGGCTCTATCTCAAAGTGGGATGAGATGCCCCAAACTGGAGTCTTGTTTGTGGATATTTTTTCATGTATAAGGGATAGATTTTATGGGCCCTTTTCCGAACTCGAATGGGAAACTATACATTCTTGTGGCAGTGGATTATGTGAGCAAGTGGGTCGAAGTGCAAGCGCTCCCAACAAATGATGCTCGATCAGTGATCCGCTTCCTAAAATATACCATATTCCCAAGGTTCGGGGTCCCAAGAACTGTCATAACCGATGAGGGCACCCATTTTGTAAATAAGGCGCTGCAAACTTGCCTTCAACAATATGGTGTTCTTCATCATCTAACTACCCCCTATCACCCACAAACAAACAGTTAGGTGGAAGTTTCAAATAGAGAAATCAAGCATATCCTCCAGACCGCAGTAAATAAAAGTCATAAGAATTGGGCAGAAAAATTGGATGATGCGCTGTGGACATATAGAACAGCCTTCAAAACTCCAATAGGAATGTTCCCATATAGACTTGTGTATGGAAAAGCTTGCCATCTACCTCTGGAACTCGAGCATCATGCGTATTGGGCTATCAAATATTTGAACTTTGATCTTCTCCCCGCGCAGGAGAAGCGCGCCGAACGGTTGCTCGATCTGGCTGAGTTCCGATACCTTGCATATGAGAGCGCAAAACTCTATAAGGAAATGATGAAATTCTATCACGACAGGAAGTTGAAGAAGAAAGAATTTACTGAGGGATCCAAGGTTCTGTTATACGATACTAGGCTTCACTTATTCCTAGGGAAATTGAGATCACGGTGGACTGGGCCATATATAGTCAGACTAGTTCTGCCAAGTGGAGCCATAAGAATCAGTAATGTAGACAACCCTAGGGAAAACGATTCCTTCCTTGTCAACGGAGCGAGACTGAAACCATATATTGAAGGGCCTATTATGCAGCGGGCCAATGCAGATATTAATCTGGTGGAGGTGCAGAAACTCGCTCAGTGATAGAATTACAAACGATATCCAGAGTGCCCTATCCCAAAGACGTCAACCTTACAATTTTCTTTACCGCTTTCGTAGTTAGAGTTTACAATTTTCTTTACCGCTTTCATAATTAGGATCTACAACTTTCTTTATTGCTTTTATAGTTAGAATTTACAGTGTTAGGCACCACTTTCTATAGAATAGTTGTTATTACTTTAATAGTTAGGATTATTGCTTTTAGAAGTAGTCTAACGCTTACCTTCTTAGGAAAAATAGTTAGAATTTTAACTTCTAACCTAAGCCTGACCCAAGCCAATCATCGCTTCACTTGCCTCCTTCTGATACATACTAGAAGAGCAGTACCGCTCACCCAGTACCGCTTTCATCATCGCTTGTGTGTCATCCATAGGTATTTAGAAGTACTGCTTTAACCGCTCACCGGCCCTGAAATCCCACCCTTATACCTTTATATTAATATACAGTGGACCAGTCACTGCTTCGCTCACCCCTCCATATAAGTGCCAGTGTCCTCTATAAATACCCCAGTTCACAGCTATTTTCCACTTTTACCATACAATAACTTCCTCATTAAGCTTCAGTAACCGTCATTTCTCCGTGCACAAATATTCAAAAATCTCGATTCTTCAGCCAATATTAGCTCAATTTAAGGTAAGATCTAGGTTAACCTTAGTCAATAACTTTGATTTCATGGTTGATTTTCTCTGATTTGATGCACAATAACGCATAATCAAATATTATTTTCACGAAAACTGTCTGTTCTTCAACTGTTGCGAAAATTTTTATATCTTCGATTTATGTGAATCTAAGTTTGTTATCTGTTAGATTTAGATATAATAATTGATATGCTTGTTTCGCATGGATCAGTTTTACAATAATCTGTATGTTTGGGCGCTGTTTTGTGATTTTCTCATTTTTTTCGCAAGGAGATACTTACTGAAGTGTTCTGTTTTGTTGTGAGGGGGAGGAGTTAGGGTTCAAATCACTGAGATTTAGGAAATTATTGCATGTATATGAATATTGTTTGCATTTTGGAACTAATGAGGCAGGATTCATAAATTTCCCAAATTAAAAAATATAAATTTGAAAAACCCTAGGTTCAGAACAAGCCAACAAAATAAATCCAAGCAAGCGAGAAGCATCATGCAAGGAGTTCGAGAGGATTGAGGAGAAAATTGAAAAGAGGATTTAACGAATCAAATCTACAGACGGGCAGAAGGTAGTAACTACAACCTCGGGGGCTGAATTTGTGGAACCAGCACTGCCAGAGGCATATTACAGAAGGAGAAGGCTACTGGATTTGACCGAGGACTGGGGGAAGCTCAGAAAACTTAAGTCTATTCCATTCAGAAAATTTATCCCAGAGTTCTCGGAGGATTACCTTAGATTTGAATACACTGAGGAAATAGAACAAAGGTATCCGGTGAGCGACTGGTGGTTAGATTATGAGGAACTAAAGGACTTCTAGTTGAAGGAGCTGAGGAAAGAATTTGCTCACCAAGAGATCAGAGAAAGAATGAAGGCCTTCAAAAGCGAGAAAACTTCAAAAAAGAACGCCGCCGATGTTGCCAAGGACATGTTGAGATCCAAGCAGTTTGACTATGTCCATTTTATGAACATTGAGGCATCGGCGGCGTATGAGAAGGCAAAAGCAATGGGGATCGTCTACGAGAGAGGATTTCACCCCGAGAAGATCTCGGGCCCGCTTGCCGACTGGCTGAGGGAGCGGGGCCTGACCTGGTTGATCCAGAACCCTAAGGACCCAATGGACGTGTCACTGGTGAGAGAATTTTAGGCAAATCTGAGCCAAACTAACAGTCTATGAAATGTATATGTTCGGGGAAGATGGGTAGACTCTTCAGCGCGGAAGATCAATTGGGTCCTAGGCTGGGAACACCACTACCCCACCCAGGAGATGGAGAGCAGGCTTAAGGCATTGGAGGACTGCATCTCACTTGAGCTGCAGATACTTTATAGGACCTTCGCCACCACCCCAGAATGTGCCAAGAGAAATCCGAAATTCGGGTCGGTGGATGAAGAGAAGAACGAATGGGTCAAGTGGTCGCCGAGCTGAATAATCATTACCACTCACACCACAGACATCCGTCATGATTTCCTCCTTGCCTTGCGCTCAATTTTGGAGGAAAAAGTTGATATTGATTTGGGCGCGATTATCGGCATAGATATTTGGGCAAGAAGAAAGGTGGAACGAACACTGGGCCACGGGACCTTGATTACAGAACTATACCAATGCGCGGGCGTTGATTTTCCCACTCCAGCCCCAGATCTACAAATGAAGCCGCTACTCCCAGCGGTCTTCCACAAATCTTGGCTGGAGTCTAAGGGGTTCACCCTCATCCCCAAACAGAAAAAGAGGAAGGTGAAAGCGGCTGTTCCTCCACCTCCACCAAAAAGAAGGATGAAAGTTGTGGGGGAGGAAATAATTTGAGAAGAAGTGGCACCCGAAGCCGATCCGGAAGAGGCTGTTGCAGGACCAGACTCAGAACTAACAATCTCCAATGAAACTCCCGCCGACGAGGAAGATGAGTCCCTCCGCTTCGCTCGGGAGATAGAGGAGGCCTATTCGGTGTAGAGAAGGCCAGGAGCGATAAGGGAGGAAAGGCCCCGGAGGCAGCTTAACACAGCCCGGCCGCGTATAATTATGACCATATATATTTTTCTTACCCACAAAGTTCAATAGAACAAATAGATTAAGAATAAGAATAAAAGAAAAGAGAAGGAAGAAGAAAAGATAGTGCAGAGAATGTGAATTAGTATAGATGATAACCAACCACGAGAATAAGTCTCAGACCTGAAATCAATCCATAGGTAAAACACAAACAATAGGCTAAATCCCACTGCAAATGATTGGAAGCCACGAACCGATGGAATCACTCCAAAGACCCGATTTGAGATTCTAAATGCGAGGAAATCACTCCCTAACACTAGAAAATTATAAAAGTGAAATTTAATTCAAGATGTAAAAAAGGTTCCAATTACAATGATAGGCAAAGACCTTATATAGAGGTCCTTGAGGAAAATAAAAGGCAACAAATAA